ACCTGAATATAACACCGGTCTTTAAACCAACCCCGCTTTGAATTTTTAACAAACCCAAACCATAAAAACGGCCGGCTCGAACTTTACCGCAACAATGCCCCCCCCCCCCCCCCCCCCCCCCTTTCTTCTCTAAATTGTCCACAATGCTTCGGCGAGGTAGCTAACTAACATGCCCGCTACCCACAGGATGAGCAAGATGACGCGCCCGTACTACCGCGACTGGGGCAACCTGCGCTTCCACAAGGGCAAGACATTCTTCGCCCCGCCGCGCCCCTTCAAAGGGGAGCTATCTCTCTTCTTCCCGAACCTATTCGGGCAAACACTACTAAAGAGCGACCGCAAGCCCCGCGACACGACGCCCGCGCTACAGGGTAAGATCTCCGTCGTCAGCGTGTTCAGCAACGTGTGGGCCGAGAACCAGATCAACTCGTTCGTGTCCAAGGAAGCCAATCCCGGGCTGGAGACGGTGCTGCAGCAGAACGAGGAAGTGGTCCAGCGAGTCTGGATTAATTACGAGGACAACTCCATGAAGGCCTGGCTGATTAGGCTGTTTATGGGCGGGATTAGACGGCGCATTGGCGAGCCGAATTGGGACCGGTACTTCCTTGTGCGGAAGGGGCTTGATGATGAGATTCGCGAGAACACTGGTCTTTTAAATAAGAGTGTCGGTTACGTATACCTCCTCGACGGCGAATGCAGGATACGATGGGCTGGTAGCGGCCCTAGCGAGGATCACGAACGGGAAGGTTTAGTTAAGGGCGTCCAGCGACTCTTAGACGAGGCAAAGAGCTCCAATAAAAGTTAACAGGCCATGTATTATTACGTGCCACGATCAAAAATGGTACCCGCTCCTCAATTTACAAGGCAAATAGCTCAACGCTAAAAGTTCCCCTTGATTGTTCTATGTTATATCACAACGGTGCGAGCTAGTCGTATTAGCCATCGCCATCCATTTGATAGGTGTTCTATGACACCAAGTCTCTGGCATATATTTTCCCCTTCGTATTATACAGCGTACTTTCGCCCCCTCGCCCCCTCTGAATAGCCGGAACGCCTTGCAGGAAATAACGCCAACTAGAAAAGCCAAGGTATCTATCTCCACCCTAGTCCAAAAAGACAAGCCGCCGATCTTCATTGCCGCTACCGCCTACAAGAAGAACCAGAAGATCACGAAGCAGAACGCGATGAATCCGCCCATGATAAAGCTATCTCGCCGCTTCCGCGCCGAGATCTTGCCAATCAGGGTGTTTAAGCCGGGGACTTGGCTCGCGGCCATAGTGATCCTCCGGTTGATGCTGGCCAGGGTTTCCCGCTGCACGAGGAAATTCTCGTTGGTGGCGTAGGCCTGGCTAAGCACGCTGTCGACCATATTGTGGCTGTTGTCGATGCGGTTGCGCTCGTCTAGCATGTACTCGGCCTCGGCGGCTTCGGGGTTGTTCGCTCGATAGGTCTGGATGTCATCGCGGACGTTTGAGAGCAAATTCGCGCGGTTCCGTGCTTCCTGCAGGCCGGACCGTAACCGCCCTAGATCTCGTCTGTGCTCGGCGAGCTTCTCGCGGAGGAGGGACAGGTTGTTCTGCTTAAGGGCGGAGGATGTAAGGCTCGCTTCGGAGTCTAGGAGACGCGCGAGTTGGTTGACGATATTGTCCCTCTTTAAATAGCAGTTAGTTAAGGTATACATAGGCCAGTGTTCGGCAGGCAGGTTAGATGGCGTAGTTCTACCTTATCGAGTATCTCCTCTAGCTTTGCTTCCGTCTCTCGTTCTTCTTTAGTCGGCTTCGCCGGGATATTAGGGACGGTAGAGAATTGTGAGTAGGTATGAAACAGCGTCTCCGTCTATGAGTTGTGAGGTCAGTATTGCCTTGACTTTGCGCATAGTTGGTATGTGTAGTACCTGGGATTCTAAGCTTCGAGCTTGTTGGCGCAATTGAGCCCAGCCCTGGTTCCCTGTCGGCGCTGCCATGGCTGAAGTTGGATTATAAAAATTGAATATTAAGGTCGAGTTCCAGAGGTACTAGTCATCCCCAAAGCACGGCGTGTGGGAGAAACTACGCAGAGACTGCTTCTTTAATGTGGACGTCCCATGTAAGCAATTCGTAATGCAGGATACGTTGCTGAAAGCCAGGCACTGGTATTATTACTACATGCAACAACGAGTAGCCCTGGGTAACGCTATCGATAGTAGATTCGTATAGGCCGTAAGATTAATGGACACGGGAAGCGCTTGTGTAAGTGGCACGTTGATGACGATAATGGTTTTAGTAAAAGGTCGTGATGTTCGAGGCTTTCGTACTAGGTATTAGATACATTAGGTAATCATGTATCTTGGGATTTCGGTAACAGCGCATTCCGAGGGGTTAGGTACCTAATTCATATAGGTATGGCTGTGCATTCCAGGTGGTGTGGCTAGTGAAGGTACGTAGGTATAGGTACCTAGGTACTCATGGAAATGGGCAGGAAACCTCCGCTCGTCTAGCTGCACAAAGGCGGGTCTTTTTAGATTATCAGTCACCTGACCAAACTTTTCAGCCCACAACCCTACTGCGACCAAATCAATTCTTTTAGCAGTCTACCAAATTCTCTAGGCGGAAATTTCAAGACAACCTCAAGAAAGTTTACCGGAGACCCGACCTCACCTCGTTACTAAAACATCCAGCATTCAAGATGGTAAGTCGACCGATCAATCAATGCGACCGCCGCATGCGTCAAAAGATCGAATTATCGCCGCTAATTCTTCTTTTTAGTCGACTTCTAAGGTCAAGACGGGTCAGCTCTGGAACAAGAGCAAGGAGGACTTACTGAAGACTCTCGGAGAGCTCAAGACCGAGCTCGGCCAGCTCCGCATCCAGCAGGTCGTTTCTAGCGGTAGCAAGCTTAACAAGATGTATGTTTACACCATTTCGAGCCGATTGTGGTTTTCTGTGCTATTACAACTTTTCGAGCCTTCCCCCTCCCACCCGCGACAGCCACACGAGTGAAGAAAAAAGGCAACCGTACATAGGATTTTCATCACTAACAATGCACCCTGCTCTCTAGCCACGACCTCCGAAAGTCTATCGCCCGCGTCCTCACAGTCGTGAACCTTAAGCAACGATCACAGCTACGTTTGTTCTACAAGAACAAGAAGTACCTCCCTCTGGATCTCCGACCTAAGCAGACCCGCGCCATCCGCCGCCGACTGTCGCCCGAAGAGAAGTCCAAGACCCTCGAGAAGACACGCAAGCGAGCCTCGCATTTCCCTCAGCGAAAGTACGCTGTTAAGGTACGCTGAACCCCCTGAATTTAGCTGTGCACAAAATAGCTACGAGGATATCGTTCTATTCAACTGAGGCCGTCGAGCTAACATCGCGGGTATCTATAGGCTGCTTAGACGAATAGGATCGGTTGTGGGAAAGGGAAACGTGGACGCTTTTTGAGGTAGTAGACGGGCGTCGTGGTCATTCCAAAAAAAAAAAAAGGAATCCTGATATTTGCATGGCATTACACGGCTTTTTCGGTTCATAGGTGTTTACGAGGTCACACTTTGCAGTCAATGTCGCTGCCCAATGCAAAAAGACTTGCCTTCGGGCGCTGAACAAGTTATCGCGGCTTATTGCGTATATGTGATTTGCCAACGTCTCAAATCTAAGTGACTACCTTCCATAGGTGTTCCATGTATTAAGCCACATTACCGTGATAGATTTAACCAATGATAAAAATCAGTCAAAGACGTTATGCTTACCTATACTAGCATCGACATACTATAATCTAATTTTTTAGACCATCTAGTCCCGCCAGCGGTTCGTGGATCTAAGCGGATATATACCAGCTCCTATGTCGATTTGCTAATCTAGTAAGTATATAATGACGAAGACATTCTACCGCAAGACAATTCTTGTTTCTTTAAAGTGTCGAAGGATTCTAGGCATAGTAAGTTGGTATAGTAGGTAGGCACCTTGGTGATCATATTAGTGAAATCGAACAGTCATCTCACGATAACCGGCTAGACAACCAAACTCCGTGTACAAGATCGGCTGACCTTGCATTACAAGTGCGGATCAAGCCTTTACAATAAGAAATAATATATAAATGTTACTTATTCAGACCCCCAAGTCACTATGTCTACGATTCACCACGTTAGGTTATGCAATATTAGAATTCGGTACTTTGTTTAATAAGACGCTCTAATTAATAGATTGAATCGCTGCCGCTGCCGCTCCCGCTCCCGCTTTTGATCACTATTATGTACATCATATCATGTATGGTGCCCCAAAATTTACCGCCTATAATCCCGACCGCTTAGAGCCACGTACTCCTAAATCTTTCAAATGCTACAAACCCAATGATATCATCCCTCCCTGGCTAAGAGCCTTCCAGTATGTAGTTCGCTTTGTGATTCATGGCTCGTTCCCAAGTAGACGTAAAACGAGGATACATCCAAGGCCCCTAAGCTTGAATAGAAGCCTGCTCCAGGATGGTGTTACGCGGTATTTCTGGTGACATAGGCGAGAAAGCTGGTCCCGCCGCTATTCGAGTCTTTTGCTTCTTCTTCGGTCTTTCATGTCTGGCCTGATGCCTTCGTAACTGGTCGATTCGAATGAACTGACTTGTACAGCCAGGCTCATCGCATTTGAATCTGTAATCCGGATTATGCGTCTTCCGGTGTTTCGAGAGGTTGGACGATTCGCAGAAGCACTTGCCGCATATGTCGCATTCCAGTGGCTTCTCGCCTGTATGAGTACGCTTATGCATAGCTACCTCAGGTTAGTCTGCGATTTAGTAGGATACGAAACGATTGGGTACGTGTACATACTTAGAGCACTCTTCTGCTTGAAAGACTTGCCACATCCTTCAAAGTCGCACTTATACGGCGTCTCGCCTGTGTGCGTTCTCACGTGTTGGTCAAGAGCTTGTTGTGCTGAGAAGCCCTCGCCACATATTGCGCATTTATGAGGTTTGTCTTATCTGTTGTTAGTATCATTCTCGAGGACTGAGCGAAATCGACTTACAAGCAGTGTGGGTTGCAAGATGACGCCGTAGCTTGTTACGAGAGGCGAATACTTGGTCACCACGGCGGGGGCAGCCGTTCCAGAGACAGAGATATTTCGTCTTGCTTGTTAGCAACGAAATGTGGTCACTACACAAGTGCTCATGGAGAGAAAAGCTATCTTTGCAAACATGACCGCAAATATCTTGACCCTCTCCTCCAGGAGATATTATCCACTGGCAAACAAGTTGAGTCGTGCCTTCAGCCTCATTAAAAGATTCATTCAACGGAGTCGGTATTGAATCTATCTCAGGGGTACACGAGAGGCTTGGATGATGGTGGATAGGTAAGGAGAGTTGTTGGATAGGGTCTAGTTGGTGCTCAGCTGCAGCTGCATCAAGAAAGCGGCGCTCGAACTGCTGGAAGTCATGCTGCTGCTGCTGCGAAGGGTTCAAAGCACCAGGCGCCCTCAAGTCTCGCAGGGTAATGGCAACATCGTGCTCGGTGTTGGTGTGATTACAAGGCGGGTTATGTGGAGGTAAGGGTAGGTCTGATGGTATAGGATTATGCCAGCTTTGGTTGAGAGTCCACATTTCGTCGATGGCTTGTGTAGTGCTATCGAGGCAGTGCAGGTCGTCACAGGGCGTACCATCTCCAGAACATTCCTCCTCTTGGCAGACTTGGGTGGAACAACAGTCGCTCGAGCATGAAAATTTGCTACAATTCACGGAAGCGCAATCGTCAGGAACAGGGCACTGCGGAATCCCTAAGTCCGTGGCATTGAAGTTGTTCCCAAGGAGTGACTCACTAAATGAGCCATGGTGCTCTGGCCTGATGTCGTGATTTAGGTCATACTTCAGGCCCATATCCGGGAAAGGATCCGGATATAAATGGTTGAATTGTTGCATCGGCTGCTGGAAGACATTGTTCTCAGACAGATGATAAGGGTATGTGAAAGCTGAGACAGTAAACCGGTTCCTAGGAGGAAAAGACGGGCCAAAGGCATTGCGGTGTATCCCATGGGGGTTTAAGGTGCCTACGCACTTGTCTAGGCAAGTATCGTCATGAGATGTATGATGGAGATCTAGTGACGAGGGTTCGATAGTATCGAGAGAAGACGACGGGCCAAAGGAAAACGCGTTATCAAAGTTGTGAGAATTAGGTGTGAGAGAATTGGTGAGTCTCTCTATTGAGGGTGACGATGTTAGAGGAGGGAGGCCATAAGTTGCATCATTGGGATCGATTGAGTCGTTCATCCCTCCATACATAGTCATGGTCGATGTTCCGACTAAACATGACCCGTTACGGGAAAGGAAATTCTAGGTCGGTAGCTTTTTGGCATGAAGATCTGGGGTTGTGGACTGGGTGAAGAAGTTGTTAGAACTTGATGTCTTCGGTATGGGATCAAGTATTGGCCAGTGCGCCAACGATGAGACCTGGGATTAGGATAGATCGGCACCGTGCCGCACGGAATATTACGAATTGAGGCTCTTCGTCTCGTTCATTACAAGAAGGGGAAAAAGGTTAAGAGGAGAAAGGGTGGTTGTGGGCAAATGGGCAGAATTCAGGTCGAGGGTTGAGAACCTTGATGGTCGGTGATGGTCGGTGATGGTCGGGCTGTGACAAAGTTCCAAGGCTGCGGTACTTGCAGTACATGTAGCTAAGGTACGAAACGGGTTTTTTGGTTTTATTTTTTATTTTTTAATCTTTTTAGTGAAGAGACACTAAGATACAGTATTAACAATAAACTTTGAAAAACTACCTCTAATTCCCCTCTAGTAGATGTCAACTTCCCGTAACCCCTTTCGTCGTTTCTCTTTATGCATTGTGTGCATTGATGATGCTTGGTCTGGCCGCAGGATTTGACTGGGTTTTTTGATGCTGACGTTGGATTTGCACCAATCAATGGCCATGGATTTGTTGGAAAATATTTATGTGGGGCTAAACCGCGTATTGTAGTCAGCATGGCGTACAGTGACAAGTGGCCATCAAGGTTCCTGTCCCATGGTGGATCCCTCCCCGTACCAGGCACATGCTCGAAAACATGAGTTAAAATGGGAGGCTGAGAACATGCAAGTACCTACGTAGTACTTACACAACTACGAATACAACTCGTTTACTAGTTGTGTAAAAACCCAATACTGATTCTGTATAAATTATGTAGATATGTATACGTTTAGATATACGCTTAGATATACGTTCCCCTCTAACCCCACCTCAGCTTTCAGGGTCCTACATATGTATGGACATAGTGTAAAGCTCGTTTCGGTATGTAAGACATGTACATGTCCGTGCATATGCCAGTGCGCATGTAAATCTACCTAAAGCAGCTTACCTAAACTCTTGCATTAGGTACATGCATACCTACATAGGTAGTACAGATCTCTTGAGCCTCATTTGATTGATTCATCAATCTGCCTCTAGCACAACGCCCTGCATTCCGCCACATGGAAACACCCGTTCCGCGTCTAATCGCACTACCGCCTAGCAAACAGACCGCCTAGCAACGTAAAATCCCAGTTTCATCTAGGTTACTAGATTACGTACCTTAGCAAAACATTCCCGCAACTGATCAGGTTAAGTTTAGAGAACCTTACTGGGTCCGGTTATCCCCACCTCTAGCCTCTAGCCTCTAGCCTCTATAAAAAATAAAAAAAGATGGGAAATATCTGTGGCAAGTCGGAAAGTGAAAACTTCTCTCAGCCCGGTCGCGTCCTCGGCTCCGCCCCGCCACAACCAGAACGCTCGTCCGTCCCAGCTTCGGTCGGCGGTCCGCCTCGGACCTTGGGCGGAAACTCTCAAAAGCCACAAGACAATAGCAACGCGGAGGAGGCTCGGAAACAAGCTGCAGAAGCTGCAGAGGTAACGTCTCCTATCTCACCTACCCCGCAAATCTATTCGTACCGTCTATTCGTACCGTCTATTCGTACCGTCTATTCTAAACTGTCATTTATAGGCAAGGGCAAATGCCACAGCTTCCAAGTCTACGGGAAAGCTAGGCACGCAGTTGGCAGCACAGAAGAAGCAGACACGCAACGATACGCTCAAGGAGCTTAGTAACAACGAGATAAGGCAACGGGATGCTGACGAGGCGGCGACCGCGAGAACTCATAACTAGATAGCTTAGGGTACCCAACCTATATAAGTAAGGCGCGAACATATCGCGAACATATTGATCCATTTTAATTTAAATCATTACTTAGCGACTCTTCATTCGATTTGAACTGTGTACGTCCGCCTTGTTCTCCGACCTGCCAAACGCCAAACAAACCCCCTTCGTAAATAGAGCACGCCAATTCTACTAGTTCACGATATTTTCTCTGTCTCACTATCCATTAACTTGTCCTTAAGACACCTGAGCGCTACAGCCCTAAGTGACGGTATATCTACCACCGATAGGAGCCCTATTGTCCGCATCGGCGGCGGCGATGGTACCCTCCTTGAGTAAGCGGGTGAGCTCGGCCATGGCGTTAGCTACCATTAATTCGGTATCACCTTCCACTAGAATGTAAAGCTTAGGTTCACCGTCGGGCGGTACCTCTTGGCCTGGTCGATAAAATGTTCCTTTGTTGGTAATGGACGTTCCAGTCGCCTCAAGAATTTTGGCGACGTTCGTTCTATTGGTGACGGCCCAACGGGCCTTCTGTGGGAAATCGTTGATTTCGAGAGTTGCATGGAATGCACCTGCGTCTGGGCCTTTGTTGTCGATTGGTTGACCCGGTCTTAGCTGGCCCGCGCGACCTAAACGCGCATTGATGGCATTGATCGCAGAAGATACCTTGTCCAAGGGATTGCTGGCGCTTGCAGACGGTGCAGCATCTTCCCTCTTGTGGATAGTAAATTTCGGTTCGAGATCAATCTTCGGGGCAGCGGCATCGCGAGAGACAATACCCGAAGAGGCCGTCTGAATGGCCGAAAGAGCCTTATCACCCTTCTTGTCCTCGCCATCTTTCTCCTCTTTCTTTTCTTCCTCCTCGTCGCCTTCTGTCCGATGGGATTTTCGCTCTCTGAGCCGGGCTGCTTCTCTCTCCTGATCAAGCCTCTCTAGTCCTTTGCCGCCAAAGCCAGATTGATCTTTGGCTTTACCAGACTTGACTTTATCCCTAAATGCTTTACGCATTTCTTCCAGTTCTGGCGGCACCTCCTGTCCACTTTGCTCTAGGGCCTTCGCGATTCCTGGCGCGCAGTTTTCTTGATCTCTTGTTATAAAAGTGACTGCTGTACCTTTGTTACCGGCACGCCCGGTACGGCCGGCACGGTGCACATAATCTTCGAGATGGTTCGGGGCGTCGTAATTGACGACTAGTTTCAGTTGTTTAACATCGAGACCGCGGGCTGCCACGGACGTCGCGATGAGGACCGGAATAACTCCAGCTTTAAAATCGATAATGGTCGAGTCCCTATCTATTTGATCCTTCCCACCGTGAATTGACATGCAAGGGTAACCTTTGCGCAATAGTTCCTTTAGTAAGTCGTCCGCCTTCTCTTGGCGCTCCACGAATATTAGCGCCCGAGCATCCTCGTCCCTATCGTAAAGCTCGCCCAAGAGCTCAAGCAGGCGAACGAATTTGGTATTTTCTTCTCGAATTTCGACGACTTGGGTGATTTCAGGGGCGACAACGCTCTTCCCTCCTACGGTGATTTCTACAGGATTGTTTAGAACCTTCTTGGCCAGCGCATCCATGATACGAGGCATGGTGGCCGAGAAGAGAATTGTCTGGCGGTCTGGTCGCATATTCGCGAAGATCTTCATTACCTGGGGCTCGAAGCCCATGTCAAACATTCTGTCTGCCTCGTCAAGGACGACATACGTAACTCTCTTTAGGTTAGTCACGCGACCTTGATTCGCTGCTAGCAGATCAATCATACGACCTGGGGTGCAAACCACAATTTCTGCGCCTCTCTTCAACTCGGCGATGTGATCTTTGATAGGTGCGCCACCGTATGCGCAGACTCCTCGAAGGTTCATTGACTTCAGGAATGGTTTGCAATCTCGGTAGATTTGGGTAGCTAACTCACGCGTAGGAGTCATGATCAAGCCAATAGGACCTTCGCTCTCCTTCAGAGGTCGCTGATCCTTGATGTGCCTGAACATAGGTAATAAGAAGGCTAAAGTTTTTCCCGATCCGGTCTTCGCAACGCCAATGACGTCTCGACCGGACATGATTGTAGGAAACGCTTGCATCTGAATCGGCGTGGGCTTTTCGAATCCTAAGCTGTCAACAATATCGAGCGTTTTCCGCGACAGAGCACATTGAGACCACTTTTGGACAGGCTTTGGCACGTCCTTACCAGATACCTTAATCCCGTCTAGTTCGATGCGCAGGTCTGCTAATTCGGCATCGGTCATCTCTGATAATTCAGATGGTTCAACCCAGAAATTTTTTCGAACAGGTTGTATGTCAAGCTTGCTGTAGTCAACAGATGGGATGTCTTTCTTCTTACGAGCTTTCGCCGCGATGGCCAAGAACGAATCGGGGTCCACATTCTCATTTCGGTAGTCATACTCATCGTCGCTGAAATACGCTTCCGGCTCTTGCGAATCTTTACTCTGGTTGAGGCTTGCTTTGGGACGTGGATTAGTAGCGGGTTTGGTCTCGAGATCATTCATGAAGGCGTCTAGAGGATCAACATCATCCTCGTCAACTTCCATGACATCATCTGGCTGGGTAGTCTGAGTGACACCATTCGTTTCTGCAGTTGTTTCTTCCTCGCCTTGATCAACCTGCATTTCCGTCGTCTGCTGCGCATTCTCTTGCGCAATACGCTCCTCTCGTCTCTCCTGAGCTGCTCGGGCGGCGGCGGCCTCTTCTTCTTCATCCCCGGCGAAAGGAACAGTATCATCGTCATCCTCTTCGTCCTGATTTTCATAGGGTGTATCATCTACGTCGTCGAGGGGTAGGGAGGGTAGCTTAGCAAGTTTTCTGTCTGATGTCTCTTCTTCATCCAGTATCAACTTCCGCTTCTGAGCAACTTTCTCAGTTTCTGCATTTTGCTTGTGGAAACCGAAGCCACTCGTTTTAGCCCTACTTTGTGGAAGAGCAGATACTTCGGTAATACTATTAGCAACCCGACAGGAGACATACTGGTGTAAGCACTCACCACTTGAGACCTGTGCGGTTGAACTGAGGCTTATGGATGGCGGCTGACCGGCAACGACACCTAGTTTAGGCGCGGCAGGAGGGTGCGCTTTAGGAGCCGACTTTTTAGCGATAGCCTTGGGATCAAATTTACCAGCATATGGGGTTGCTGGTGAAGGGACCTGCGTGTCAGCAGGCGATATTGGCGTCGGAGAAGCTCCTACAGGTGTTGTATTGGAGGGTACAGTGTTAGCCTTTTCGTCCATCTCAGCAAGAAGCTTCCGAGTTCCACCTGGAGTCGGTTCTTTCTGTTTCTCCTTCTCCTCCTGCTTCTTCTTCCATGCTGCCAGCTTGGCGAGACGTTCAGCCTTTTTATCGGTATCAGACTGGGCGGGAACAGGCTTTGGTTTCGATTCTACCTGTAAATGTGTTAGTATCCGTAGTATAACACGAGTTTATAAAACATACATCTGATGGCTTCGCCTTAGCGGCATCGCTGGACGCCGAGCCTCGCTCGCGGCTATCACCTCGCCTACTGCGCGGATGAGAGTCAGCAGTACCTTCGCGTCGTCCCCTGACTCGATCACGGGAGTCGTCTCGCCTGCCTCGGATATCTCTGTCACCATCACGGTCGCGGCTTCTGCGCCGGCGAGGCTCGGTAGAGCGGTCCCCCTCCCTATCTACGAGGCGATCACGCGAACGCCTACGGTCCCTTCCACCTCGATAGTAGTCATCACCTCGACGGTCTACGGAACGGTCACGGCGGCGGAAGTCATGGTCTCTATCCCGGTCGCGGTCGCGATTACGACGCTGTACCAAATAATTGTTAGTAAAGTGAACATCGCTAGATCTGCTAGATCCGCTAGATGCATGGCGTCTCACATCGTGTGGGCTCCGAGAGCGACTCCGGCGTCTCGGGTCGCGCCCGTAGTCTCGGCGATCCCGATCCCGAAACCGATCTCGATCCTTTCTATCGTCATCTCTACGATGTCTTCTGGAGGGTTGCTGGCTTCCTGCTGGAGTTGGTGAGCGTGAGTCTCTGAGCCGAGCCATGGTTTTTTATATATAGTACGGCTCGGTCGCACTACAATGGTGAGAGCTACCAGAGGGACTCGAAGGAAGCTTCCAGTTAGACGACCAGACTTAATAGAAAGATCACCTAATGAATTGAAGCTCGAATATTATCGTGCTTTAGCTATACTAGCGGATTAATTTGGTCGTTTGGGTGTACTCTAATGTGACGGATGAATGAAGAAGTTATTTGACTGCTTACTTGCAGTCATTTAATTTAGTTCAGTATATTTCAGCTCAAAGGACGTTCTAAGTTCCGACCGTATAAAAAATCAATATGTGGCTAAAGGGGCTGGAGAGTAATTGTACCTACAAAATGCCCACTGTACTGAATACCTACCTAGGTTAGGTACATACCTATATGTGGCTAAAACACCTGACTTTTTATGCATGACGCCACCACAGTGTTCGCTAGGGCACATAAGAGGTACCTAGGTAATAGGTAATTTTACCTAAATGTACCTGAGGTGTGGAGAGCTAGGTTGCCAGTGGGTCGGCTAGATAGCAGATAAGTGGCATATCACACAACAGAAAAGCTCAAGCACAAGTTAGGTAGCTGCATTAATTTGTCTCAAATTGTCGCGTCTCAATTCCGTCCTCAACGCACCCAGCCAGCTGCCCCTCTGGTCCCACCTGCAAATTACTTTTACTTTTTCTCTCCCCTCCAACTCCACGTGAAAATTTCAACAACACACCTCAATCCAAACCTCAATTGCCTACCATGCTGTCGTCTATTGGACGTGCCGCGATTAGGCGGCTAGTATCTACCTCTGCCACTACGGCACCCCGCCGCATTGCGATCTCATGGCCCATTACCCGTGGTCGCGGCTTCGTTCAAGGCTTTGCGACTGCGGGACAACTGAAGGCTACTGCTACTAAGGTCACCACTAAAACTTCTAAGCCCAAAGCCACCAAGACTACTACGGCTACTAAGGCTACCAAAGGTAGTACTAAAGCAACAGCTACTAAAGCAAAAGCCAAGAAGGCGACAGCTAGCAAGGCCACGACCGCTAAGTCCAAGGCCCCCAAGTCCAAGGCCAAGGGCAAGGGCAAGGGACGAAAGCGACAGCCAATGACACCAGAGAAGCAGGCCATCCTTGAGAGAAGAGTGCTCAAGAAGACGGCACTGTTTACCGAACCAAAGTTTCTTCCCGACAGCCAATGGACTGTATTTGTAGCTGAGCAAACCAGGAATAAGGTTACAAGCCCGTCAGGTCTTCGAGATCTGATGTTAGGGTTATCTCAGAATTACAGAAGTCTTCCAGCCCCGGAGCGTCAGGTTAGTAATTTACCACGATACTGATTATAGCTATGACCAATGCCCTGATAATTATTAGCGTCTTGCCGATATTTCCTCGCAAAACAAAGTCAGCAATGCAGCTACTTATGCGGCCTGGGTAGAAACCTATACTCCTGATCAGACGGTTGCTGCCAACCGGGCTCGTCAACTCCTGAAGAGGAAGTATAACTACCCCGTGTCAAGCTTGAAAATTATTCACGACCCGCGTGTCCCTAAGAGACCCATTACTCCATACAGTCTCTTCACAAAGGCGCGATGGGCTTCCGGAGACTTCGCGAACCGCCCCTTCGCTGAGGCTGCCAGGGAAATCGGAAAAGAGTGGGTGAAATTGCCGGATGTAGAACGCCACGTAAGACTACCTTATGTCTCTATTTTGATTACTACGAAAACTAACTAGACTACAGGCGTATGATGACCTTGGGAAGGCAGCCAGGGACACGTATGAGAAGGAAGTTGAGGCGGTTCTTCATCGCAAGCCGGCTCGCGCACGTCGTTCATCCACGCCACCTGCATGATCACCTGCATGATCTGGACTCCTTTTCCCGCCTATTACTAATACATAAAGTAGGTGACTGTGAGCTCTAGAATCAGTGGCTCCTTCATGGTTATGAGGAAAGACGATTGGGGGATTGGCCAGTCCGTCCAATGATTCTCATTCTTTCTTGTGGCGACGCAAGAATTTGTTACATTCATTTCGGGACGATGCAGTGGCTTAACCGTGACTACTTGTTTGACACGGCTTGTACTTGTAGATAGTCCGTTTGGCTCGCAATATTCATCCCCATTTCCTAGGTAGCCAATGAGAATCGCCCGGAGATCCCATGGTAGTGATGGTAATAGTGGTAGAGTTGTATTAGTATTAAGCAAAAACTTGTGTGTGAAAAGGATTGGCAATTGAAATCTCTAATTCTCATTAAGGATATCCCAATGATATTCTATTCCATACACCAAACACCGTACGTAAATGCTTGTAACACCCAGTCTAATTCCCAACCTTTATCGTAGACAAAATACCCTAATTAGTATTATTTTCTTGTTTGCATGACGGTAACTGGGATACCCTCGCTGTCAATCCAAGAGCAGCCAGTATACAGGATCTTCCGCTGGCTGGCTAGATATAATAACAAGTAGATATGCGCTGTTACCAAGCCCCAGCAGTAAACCCGGAGAGACTGAAATTCCCTGTCCCTCAGACACGAGACGCCCCATCCCGCAACGCCAGTCCCGACGTAGTTTGCAAGGTAGGCCCAAGCATCGCGTTTGAGCTGCGGATCCCAAGCCGAACAATCTACGAGCCAATACCCGCGTTCGGAAGGCCGCAGGTCTCGTCTACTTTCTTTCGGCCTGTATCGCTTCGGAATATTTAGATCTCGAGCTAAGCTCTCGAGGCCTGGCGTGATGAAGCTTTGTGGGTCGACCTGCGTCACTGAGATAGGAGGCTCTGGCGCGCGGAGTTCCAGGCTGTCGTATGTGTACCCGTGGTCGCTTAGGAAGGATACTTTTAAGAACGAATTTTGGCTGGAAGATACCCTCGGGCCAATGTCGCTTGCGGCTCTTAGGAGGGCCCGCGGGTCTGTGTCAAGAGTATCTGGCTGGTGCCGCTTGGCGGGTGGGGGTTCGGAGTCTGCTCTAGTTGTGGATGAGATGTCGGAGGATCGTATTAAGATAGTCTCCTCGACAATATTGTCACTGGATACCTCATCTTGGGCAAATCTTGTGTGGTATGCCTCTGTAGGTTTTGTCTCAACTGATCCTCCTGGGCCGGAACGAGGATCGCACGGAGGTGTGCAGGGTATTACTGATGGCGTATATGGGGCTAAAAGGGGAATTTGACTATCTTCAGAGCGAGGAAGAATTGACCTCTGGGAGTTACTAGGGGGAATGTCGACGCCGCTTCGTTGAGAAGTGGTTTTCTGAGATGATGATGGAGAATCAAACCGTTGCAGGTAATGCTCTAAGATTCTCGTAGGAGAGGTGAAGGTAGAGATGTGGATAGGGTTTCCTACGTATGAATCTTGCACTTCGCTGGACGGTGTCTGCCATGGCGACTGTATTATCGGCATTGTGGTTTCATCATTGGTACTCAGAGGGTCATCCTCCAATATCTGTTGCGCAAAGACGCGTGGCGACCCGGCATTATCAATGACGCTATTGAACGAAGCTTGTGGTGACCTATACGGACCAAATGGCTCACTTGATTGTGTGCCAGTTGTGAAGGCTGGTATAGGGGCTTCTTGGGTCCCCTGCCCGTCGTCTATATCCACAGTTGAGCATCCTTGGTTGAGGAAATCGATACTGGCGGCTGGCTGGAAATTTAGATAGGAAGAGGCGAGAGATCGATACCAAACATCATCAGCTGCTCTGCTTGGAGCGCCGATATGGATCAAGATTTCCACAGCTGCCTGTTGCTCCATTTATACTACCGTGACCATGTTTGTTGAGCGCTCAGGTGCATTCCAACGGATACCTAGGTGAAGTGGCCTAACCAAAGAACACCGAAGCGGTGAAAGTATGAGCGTTGAATGAATTATTTGACCGTTACTTCATATGATGTGATTGGATGAGAACCGTAATTATGTTTAATAAGCCGACCAGAAGATGTTTGCTTTATGTTTACTTTATAACTAGTTAGTTGAGAATACATATCTCATTGAAATATAGTGACCTTAGAATGTAGATTAGCAGACTGGTACGGAATAGAGTAACTAAAATTGGATTAAAATTGGATGGCTTATGCATTGCAATTCATACATATTTCTAGGTTAAGTGACTACATACCTAAATTTTAGTTACATAAGTTAAGTTAATATTTTTTTTTCTAACTTATAAAAATATGAAAAATCCTTTGATGGATCATTATGCTTAATTTATTTACCTACAGTAGGTATAGGTATTCATAGCTTAAACTGCATTTGCTATTGAGTAGCAAACTTAAGATGAGCAAACACGTGTAAATAATACTGTTCTGAAGGCTGAAGCTGGAGGTCCATCTATGTATGTAATCGGACCTGAATCACGTGATATACGATAGACCCTATTACCCTATTATGATTCCATACATTAGGTACCTGTAAAAGAGGTTACCTAGGTAGGTACTTCCGTTGCACTTGTACATATGTAAATGTTGGTGGGTTGTGGGGTATCTGAAGCACTGGCTGACTGGACAAGAGCTTAGGACAAGAGCTAAGACAGGCGCTAAAGGCTATCAATTAGATTGCAGGTGATCCATTCAGGTCCATTATCCTGCGCCTCCTAACCTGCAGACCTACACCTGCAGACCTGCTAACTCTCCAGCTTTCTCTACAATCTTTAGTAGGAGTCAAGTCTCCTAGACTCAACTTGGGTTAACTACCTACATACCTTTAAAGGTACCTAAGTTGTAAGGAAGAATACTAGGGGCGAGCCATAATTTACCAAGTTATTCAGCTTTCTTTTAAAAACTCATAGCAACCGCTGGTCGTACTGATACCCGTCTCGTGTCGCAACCTTGAACGGGTTGGGTTATCAATTGTTTTTTTCTTCTTTTTCTTTTCGGTCGTTATTCTTCCACCTACCTACTAGGTTAAGCTTCTACCTATCCTCGGACTCGACTCCTAGCCCCTCAGGCATCCCAACAACGGGAAGTCTAAACAGCAGAAGGGACCTCCTTTCAGCCCTTTCAGCTATTAGATTGATCTGAATTGATCTTACCTTTACACTAACCTTATCTACCTACCTATCCTACTCTCACCTACTCTCGCCTACTCACGCTACCTATGCGTTGAAAAACATTATCCCTTTGTCTTGCATTTAGATTCCCACTGACCCCGGTCTTGTTCCCCCCTTCTGCTGCAGCTCCCGCTCCTAGCTCCGCCTTCGAAGGCTGCATCTCGCCGGCAGCGAACAGTCCCTCCTACCTCCCTGCCTTTCCGCTGAAAAGTTGATTACGGCGTTACATACTTCATGCCGTGCTATCGTATTCTCCACGATCTTTTTTTCTGCCAACGCATGATTCGATACCATCGACGTTCTCGATACCCTCGACAAGTAGACGCCGCCTAGCGAAAGCCTTCGTTACCGTCAACCCATCTTTCTATTCAAACACGCCCAAAATTAATCATCAACCAATCCATCCATCTTTTCCTACCGGCCAACTAACCAAAGTGTCCGCCCATTTTCCCACCGCAAACCCCAATTCCGTTCTGACTACGTCGCATCGACAAAAAAAACCCGCTCCTTGCCTTAACCAGCCGTCAGCTACGGCAACTTCACTGCCACACTCGTTCACCACTAGATATTGGCCGGATCCCGATATTTCTTTCGTCGCCAAATCCGTATCTCGCCTGTGCCACGCCGAATAATTGTTTTCCGGTTCTTGCATCCGCATCCAGTCGCACATCCTGTTGGAAGTCGACAAAGTTCGCCGTCTGATGCCAATGTCTGACGTTGGACAACGTTACCGCAATCGTACAATCGCCGCTTCGTCTTGTCCTTGAATTAATTCAGCGCCAAACTCCATTCCGACTGCTTTCTATTTTAAACAGCTAGGCTGAGGTAGGACCTCATCTTGGTCGCCATGATGGGCCCCGACTACGAAGGCGGTCTGGCTGGCGACCGGATTCACAGGCAACCATCGCCGCTGCCCAACGAGAGCAGCTACCAACTTGACCATGACCGGCCAAATATGACCCCGAGTCCATCCTTTTCAAACGGAGCCTTCCCTCCGCCTAGCCTACCGCCTGGCTCACCGTCCCTTGGTGCTCAAGGCGACCCGAGACAGAGCGGTGAGCGCAACCGATCTCGAGGACGAGGCGGAAGAACAGCAAGTGGGCAGCTTCGTATATGTGCTAAGTGTGGTGAATCTTTAACCGGCCAATTTGTGCGGGCTTTAGAAGGCACATACCATCTCGATTGCTTTAGATGTCGTGTAAGAGCTTTGATTACCCCCACGTGATATATTCTGTGTCTAACAAAATACAGGACTGCGGTCAGATTGTGGCCTCCAAGTTTTTCCCTGCGGACGACGAAGAAACCGGCGGCCAATATCCACTCTGCGAGACAGATTATTTTCGACGACTTGGTCTTCTATGTTATCAATGTGGCGGCGCTTTGCGCGGTTCTTATATTACCGCCCTCGACCGCAAATACCATGTTGACCATTTCACCTGTTCACTCTGCTCGACAGTTTTTGGGGCCCAGGATAGCTATTACGAACATGATGGGAATGTGTATTGCCATTACCATTACTCGACGCAATTTGCTCAGCGATGCAATGGCTGCCAAACCGCTATTCTCAAGCAGTTTGTCGAGATATACCGTAACGGGCAAAATCAGCACTGGCATCCAGAGTGCTATATGATCCACAAGTTTTGGAACGTCCGTCTAACAGCTCCCCAAGAACCTGCTGAACCCCGTCCCGAACCTGTAGGCCCCGAGGGCCGTGAGCTTGTCCGACAGGAAGAAGAAGACATGGAGAACAAGGTTTATCGAATTTGGAGCGTTTTGTCAGCATTCGAAGAATCCTCAGCCGCATGTATTTCGGACATGCTTCTTCATGTCAGCAACGGTGCATACATGGACGGAGTCTTCGTCGCCAAAAAGTTCATCGTTCATGTGGACATCCTGTTCCGATCTGCAGACAGACTTGATCAGACTATCAAGCAATCCGAGATGACTGGTATGAAACATTACACTTATGTCTGAATAGAGATGCTAAAAGAAAATTATAGACTTATCCTATGCGAGAGAATCAAAACTTCTCTGTAAGAAGATTGTAGCCTTCTTTTCATTATTATCCAAAATGCAAGAGACTACTGGGCGGAAACTAGGCGTTACTCAAGAGCTACTGTCTCTCGTGACAGGCCTAGCTCACTACCTGAAGCTCCTAATCAGGATTTGCCTCCAAGGAACGCTCAGGGTCGAAAAGGAGCACCGTTCTCCAGAAGCACTATTTCAATTCCTCGAAGATCTCAGTATGCTCGAAACGATCAAAACCGATGATGAGTCCTTGCAGATCACATTAGGTATGTCGAGACTCTCTGCTAATGACTCGGATCACTGTACCTTGTGCCGCAAGCCCATCGAGGACGAATGCGCTTTGAGCGGGGATAAGAGATGGCATCTTTTCTGCGTAACATGCGTACGGTGCGGCAAAATACTAGGCAAGAACTTGGCCCAGGCTCATCTACACCGAGACTTGAATATTCTTTGTTCAAATTGCGAAAATCCGGCTGACGGGCATGGCCAACCTTTGGAACGGATAACGAAGCTTCAGCAGTATATATTCCTTTTGAAAGTCGCCTTAGCTAGGCTGCTGGAGATACTTCGAACTAGCGGCGCTCTTCCTCAGTCTTCGGAAGATCCAGGCCTTAACGGTCAAGATTCTCCGGAAGGACGTGTGTCTGCGGACGGTAGTCCTGCGATACTTAGATCAGACTCCCAGTCCAAATCCCTTGGTGGCGAGCGGGAGCGGCATCAGAGAGAGTCGTCTTATGAGAATACTCTCAATGACGTGCGTAGACTTAGGAGTACGCGTCTCGATAAGCATCTGTCCTCAAGCCTTAGGAAGGCCCGGACGTCGAGGATTATGGATGGGCCTGAAGGACGTAGTGTTCGCCCTGGATCTGCCGGCGCGGAAATGGGCTCACAGAATAAGGTAATGCAGATCGAGGAAGATGGGGAACAAGGCGAGGGCGACACGACAAAGCAATATTTTGGACATCAGGATGCGCTGACTCTGGATGATATTCCTCGAATCGTCGCAGCTGAGCAGGCTCGGGAGCAGCAGCCCAGCGCGTATAGAGCGTCGCGCCAAGAGCTCTTCCGATCCGCCACAACTGAGGGTTCTTACGGCACTAGCAACGAGAGAAGTCTTTCTCCAGGACGAGACGACCAAGGTTTACTAGGGGATCGGTCACCTCAAAGAGACGGGAGGAAGTTCTTCTCAGAGCTATCTGGCCTTGAGTATTTTATTGTTCGACATGTAGCAGTCCTTACAATGCAACCCATGCTCGACCCAGAGTTTTCACTTGAGGAATTACTTAGCCTCATCGAGGCAAGAAAGGCACCCACATTCTGGAATAAATTCGGCAAGGCATTCGGCAAAAACGATACCCGCAAGGCAGTAAAGAAGAAGGGCGTCTTTGGGGTTCCATTAGAATTAATCGTTGAACGCGACGGTGCCGACTCTACAGATGGCGTGGGGCCGGGTGCTTTACGGATACCAGCCATTATCGAGGACACGATTACCGCTCTGAAGAATAAGGACCTGTCAGTCGAAGGTGTCTTCCGTAAGAATGGCAATATTAAGAAGCTCACCGAACAGGTGAATGCCGTTGACAGGGATGGTTGCGATGCAATCCGGTGGAATGATGAGACTCCGCATCAACTTGCAGCACTTCTTAAACGATATCTCCGTGAACTACCAGAACCTTTGATGACACAGAAACTTTATAAAGTTTGGATAGCCGCAACCAAGATCAAAGATACAGATAAAAGGCGGCATTGTCTGCATCTGACGTGTTGCCTACTTCCACAGATCCACCGAGATACATTAGAAGTCCTCTTCAACTTCTTGAAATGGGTGGCTACTTTCCACCAGGTCGATGAAGATACTGGATCGAGGATGGATGTACACAATCTTGCCCGTGTAATCGCCCCGAACGTACTTTATACAAACGAAAAGAGCCCGAGTTTCTCAGACGAGCCTATGACCGCGGTGGCTTGTGTCGAAGAGTTGATACAATTCAACGAAGAGATGTGCATGGTATGTAGAGAGCCCTTTGTATATTTCCCCTCGTATTTCCCCTCGTACTAACGTATAATACCAGGTTCCTGCTGAAATCATGGACATCCTGGGTGATTCGACTTTGTTCATGAACAACGGTGATATCACAACTAAGGAGATCCTGAAGCGAATTGAAACTAGGTCTGTGGGTGGACTCCCCAAGCAATATGATAGCAACGAATTCGTTAGACAGCAAGAGACTGGCAAGCGGCCCATGGCTACTAGAGTCGCTACAGATCCTGCTGCGTGGCAGCAGGAAAGCAGTGCACGTCCTATGCAAGAGCCAACAATTCCTTTCCCGGCAGCCCAAGGAGCCCAGCCACAGAATTGGCGCCAACCTGAGAATGGGCAACCACCTTACCCGGGCCAGTATGAGCGAGCTGATAATCAGCCTAAAAACCCCGAGAATGGCCAACGCCGAGAGTGGCGCAACTCGGGCTGGGGCAGACCAAATAATTCTGTCACGACTGGTACAGGGTAATAATTAGGTTTTAGGTCCTCAGTATATATTTCTCCATGGTAGGGCTTGTTCGACTTGTATGGACTACTCGGGGCGGGAATATTTTATATCTCATCCACATTCGCCAGCCTTGATTTTCTTCAGGACATAGCATGAATCAGGTGTAGAGACTCAACAGCATTTTCGGCCGGCGTTGCGCATCTCTTCATTTCGCCAAATAGGGCTTTGCGACCTTTTTTCGATTCGCTTTTTCAACATTTGCGGGGTTTACCTAGGCGAAGCAGTCGTCTGGTGAGCCTATATTCTGTTCTAGAAGCATATTTGCTTTGGGGAGTGGTGTGCCATGTCCGAGCAGGTCTGGCAGCAACAGCTTGGAGTAGAGGGGATATGTCTTTGCCTTTGTTTTTTTCTTGGCTTGCTCCCCCCCAACGGGTCGGATTTATTCAACGAACTCTTTTTTTTTTAACTAAAAAAATTCGGATCAGTAGATTATTCCTGGAGCTAGGCAGACCTAGGCTTCGAAACGGGGGTTTGAAGGAGCAAGGGGGGTAGGGCAGAAGACAGAAGCAGAAGCAGAAGCAGCTACAAGTGCCCCCAGATATCCAATCCCGATCAGATCGGCTAATACGCCTCGGGCTTTTTCTTTTGTTCGGGAGCGTCCGTTAGGTTAGTCGATAGGTGTGATTGATTGATCGGACTGCGTAGGTTAGGTACTGTAGGTAGTTAGCCGTAGAAGGCGAGTCATACTCATCGAATCGTGAGAATGGCAAGAGACAGAGAAGCATTCCAGGCCTGGCCTTTCAATTGATAATACTGAAGTAAGAAGTAATTGTGTGTGTGCCGTCTTGTTCGGAATGTAATATAATGTAGGTAAATTTTTGTATGGGGAGTCTATTAACCTAGTGTAGTTGTTGTTCTCGTATTGTTGAAATAAGATCATTCTCGTTTTCCATGCCGCCATGCCGCTTAGGTAACAACTATTGCCCCCCCTTTGACGTTTACATACCCTGTATATTAAAGTAAAATGTGTGAGAAAGGAGGACAAGGTTCATGTTGCCTATCATTCAACTCATCATAGGTGAACTCAATGAACCCAAATATCCTTAATATTAAGTCATCCACAGCATAAATCTCGTATAAATTAGTCTACTATTAAGTTTTCCAGCTTCTACCTATATATTTAATACAAAATCCGACAGTATTCAGTAAGACAAACCTCACGATTTTGCTGGTGCAGCGTTCTTCTCCTGTTCTAGAGTCCATTTAACTGTCCTCTTGACGCCTTCGCTCAGGCTTACTAGAGGCTGGTATCCGAGCCGGCGCTTCGCTTTCGAAATATCGTAGTATCTCGTCATGGTGCTGTAGACGATGCGCTGGCGGTTGAAAGTCGGGGCTTTTTTCAGGATCCCGAAGAACACCTCGCTCAAGTATCCGAGCAGGATACCCATCTCCCGGCTCATGACCCACACGTGGTCGGTGCCCTTCTCTGATCCAGCCGCCCGCCATATAGCCCGCATCAAGTCCCAGAAGTAGACGGGGCTGTCGTTGGTGATTATGAAGGCTTCGCCGTCGACTTTCTCGTGGTTGAGGGGCGCGGTGGAGGAGGCGTGGGTGACTAGTAGGGCGCGGGCGGCGAGGAGGTGGGCGTGGGCTACGTTCTCAACGTATGTGAAGTCGAATAAATTTTGGTTGAGACCAACTTGCACCTTGTCCTTTCCCTCGCGATAGATCTTGACTGTGTGGAAGACTAATTGTACGTCGCCCTCGCCGAAGATACCGGATGGTCGGATAGCTGCAGTTAGGAGGTCGGATCCTTCGGCGCGATTTGCTTTTAAGACAAGTTCCTCAGCATGTGCCTAACCAGAGCCGTTAGTAAAAATGTACACCACGTATTAGAAACTCGGCAATGCAGGCATACCTTTGTCTCGGAGTAGTATTCTGTCTGCATTTTACCCCGGATGACAGGGTAGTCCTCGTTCGCATTTACAAGATCATCCTTATTGTTGCTCATGACGCTGGCAGAACTCGTATATACTAACGCCTTGACATCGTTCTGCTGGCAGGCGGCAATCACAGCGCGGGTTCCGTCCACATTGACCTTCTTGAATACCTCGTTCGCAACAGCACCGAGACCCTGCGCAGGTGGCGAGGCAGTGTGTATAACAACGTCGGGCTTCAGCTTCCCGAAGACTTTGACTAGGCCATCAGCGTCGGTGATGTCGGCTTCTACGTACTGGACGCCATCGGATTCGGGTCTTCGGTTGCGTTGGCACTTAAGATCGACAACGGAAACGGTGCACTTCCAGTCGCGTAAGAGAAGATTCACGACGTGGTGGCCGAGGAAACCACAGCCGCCGATGACGAGGACACTGCCCAATAGGGGCTTCGTTGTAGCTTCGGACATGATGGCGAGATAGTTTTATGCAAGCTGTGATCGTTATACTGGAGGACCCTGAGAACCTTAGCCGTGGGTGTATGTATAGTTGGACTAGTTGGACTATCTTGGTAATTTACCCCCTTTCACCGCCTGGCAATATTAGAGCTCAGATAATAGCTACGCTAGGACGCCAAATTATTGAAGATCCATGAGAAATTGGGAGTGGGGCGTTCCTGGCTCTCCCCACGATGAAGCCAGGGGGGGGGGGGAACTCCAGGGTGATACATACACTACGGGATGGTACGGTTTCTAGGGTTGATATGTAGTCTGATAGCTTATCTCATATCTTAGGTAGTTTGAATTATTAGTGCGTACCTATATTACTATGTAGGTACATACAAAACTTACCTAGGTACATCCCTATGTTAGGTAGGTACACATGTACCTCTCTGTTACATCTTGTTGTACATAAGTCCGGAAGCTGCACTCTTCTGGAAACAATTAAAGACATATTTAACTAAGGTAGGTATATACTAGGTTAGTTTCACCGCACTAGCAGCTGTTCTTTAGTGAGACACAAACACAAATTTTAACATGCAGCTTATAAAATACAGATAATGCCAACAAGTAAAAGTAAAAGATGCTTAATAAAAGCATAGGCTTCTTAAGACGGGAAGAAAAGTCTAGAATTCTGCATGTGTTCCAATTCCCATTATATGTCTTATCTAATCTTCATAATAGGTACAAATATATGCGATTGGCTAATATAGCGTAAAACAAGGCAATTACCCCCCGCTACTAGTGACACACTAGACGCTCTTAGTGGGTCCCGGCCCTTTCTGCCTGGGGGAGACGCTGGGACGTTCCCCACCTGCCCGCATTGCACCTCAAGAGCAAGCTGCAAGTGCTACCTATTTCGTTGCTTTTGCTTCGATACTTCAACCCAAACCCATAAGACGCGCGCTGAACAACTTCCCAAATTTAACCTTACCTCACCCAACTTCAATTCTAACATTCCATTCCACTGAGGCCGCCGTTGGTTCTACCAATTCAATATCCCACTTCGGCTTATGAATAACCCTTAGAAGCTATGGCGGACCAGTCAATCATCCGCATTACGAAGGTAACGCTATGGCGTCTCACATCTTGGAGGGGCAACGAGGCTGACGAGTCTCCTGTTCACCACAGGAAATCGGCGAGCTCCAGAAGAGTTCGGACCTTTGTAAGACAAAAGACAATCCCTTCTCCGCCATGCGTGTTCCTGTCCTAATCTTATTATTATTTTAATCGCCAGCTCTCGCTGTAGCGTTTCGTGATCGCGATGTTCGAAGTGTTAAGGCCCTGATCATCGGTCCTCACGAGACTCCCTACGAATTTGGTTTCTTCGAGGTCGGTTTACCCCCAACAACCATATATGATCCCTTACTATAGATGCTGATATTTGCCAAGTTCTCGGTGAAATTTAACAAAGGTTGGCTCTTGACGTCATTCCCTTCCTGGCTTGGATTGTTAGCTAATCAATGGCATTCACAAGACTACCCTCGGAAGTCACCTGCCGTTACGGGAACAACTACCAACAGCGGACGATGTCGATTCAATCCAAATATCTATGCCTCGGGGAAAGTGTGTCTGTAAGTGAAACGAATACCATTGAACGGCTGTGTGGTGTGCTCTGCTAACCAATATACCAGATCAATTCTCGGGTATGTAGCCCTCCCTTATATATATACCTATCCTTCGCCGACGAACCTAATCCGATTCTAGCACATGGCGAGGAGAGCGAGGAGAAGAGTGGTCCGCCGCTCAGGGTCTAGAGTCCATCCTACTTTCAATACAGAGTCTCATGTCAGCGAATCCTTACGAGAACGAACCGGGCTTCGAGGATGCGAATGAATCCCACGATAAGAAGAACCAGAAGGAATATATCGCAAAGGTAACTCCCCTCAAAAAATGAATTCTTTCAAGATATTCTAATAGCGAATTCTATAGATTCGCCACGAAACATTACGCATCTCTGTGATCCAAAGACTGGAAGAATACTTGGGAATCACAGGAAGCTGCCTCTCACCAGCATCTGCAATGGAACGGGAAGAGTACGGCGGCGACGCGGACGAAGATATGGAGATGGACGATGCGAGCGTTCCCTGGGAGCCATTTAAGGATCTTTGCAAGCGTCGCTTCCTCTGGTACTACGACTCATACCTCGAGACTATCACCAAGGCAAAAGAAGAGGTTAAGGATGATCAGCCGTTTGCACGCATGCCTTTTGAAGGGGCGTCTAACTCTATGGACGGGAAGTTTAACTATACCGAACTTGAAAAAAGAATACGTCGGATCAAGGCTGCTTTAGATGCGGAGTCCGAAAGGTGGGCATCAGAAGGGGCATCTCCTAGGATGAAGGATACTACCGTTGCCGTTAACCTTTCGCGACAGTTTGAACAGATCAAGGAATCCTTTAAGCGCAGCGATGTTCCCCACAGCGTCGAGCTAGTAGATGGAAACCCCTTTGTGTGGAACCTCACCTACTTCGGACGGCCCATGACGAATTTAGATGGGGGTATGTTTCGAATCAAACTCAATTTCAGTCCCCGCTTCCCTGAAGAACAGCCGAGAATCAAATTCTTGACGCCCATGTTTCACCATCGGATTGCAGCAGATGGTACACCGTGCTACTTCCCGAATTCCAGCCGCCGTGAAGATATCAAGCAGCACATAGAAGCAATCATCGAGGCTTTGGAGGAGGAGCAGCCCCCTTACGACCCAAGAACATTAGTTCATCCCGAGGCCCATAAGCTTTACTGGGGCAGCGCCGACCAGAGAAAGTTATACAACAGACAGTTGCGCAGATCGGTACAAAGAAGCATGGAAGACTTCTAGCGGTCCCAAGAGTAGCGACTATAGATGACCACCCCGGATAGCATACGAATGGCTTCCCCGGTTGTATCAGAAGACTACCCAGTGTCGGAGGCTATCAACCTCTGTTAGGTATGGCGCGGGTGTCTAAGGGAGTTCTTAGCAACACGTCTATTCCTTGACGTTCCAGATAGGAACGTGAATGTACTCTCGACGATTCCAGGTCTCAGGGCATAAGAATAGGTACGCCGCCGCCGAGATGGACGGCTTCTAGACTAGGATTGATACCTCTTTTGCTTTCGCGGGCTACTTGATAAATACGATGAATTCAACATAAATGCCGCTATACGTTTCTAACGATGTATGCTAACCTTCACTAAATTGATACGTAGCATGATTAGAAATTTATTAAATTTATTAGATCATGTTATTTCGAAATTCGCTATATAACAATCTTCTAGCCATTTTATTATGCCATCCAATAGAATATCCATGACCCCTAGTAGTATTGATATTTACAGTTAAAAATAGAGCAACTCCTATTCATGATGTCGGATTCCCAAAACTGTGTACCGTTCTAAACGCGATGCTGTTCTTCGTAATATACATGAATTCGTCATCAGCCATGACTTCCATCATAGTCAACCAGCTATGTATCTCTAGGCAGTCTATTATCCCTCTCTCCCTCCCTCCCTCTATCTCTTTACATCTCCAGGGAACAGACTACCCATTCCAGTCAGCCAACCCAGCAAGACTCGGACCATCATCGCCTAGGCCCCTTAGGCTTCCGCTCGATGCGGTCCTTGCCCGGCGCATACGGCGCCGCGACCCCAACTAGTTTCTCCTGCCGGCCGGGGTCCCCCTTGAACTCGTACCGGCCGTCGGGTCCGACGGCGGCTGGGACCCCTTGCGCGGGCCGCGAGATTTGCTCGCTGTGCAGCTTGTCGAGGGAGTCGCCGACGACGGCGTATTGCGCCCAGTTGATGGGCGGGCAGCGCACTACGTTTTGCGGCTTGGGCAGCCTGGTCCAGGGGCGGGATTGGGGGTTAGGCTGCTGGTGGTGGTGATGCGGGGGCTCGGGCTCTGCGGCGTCGGGGTCGGGGTCGAGGTCGCTCTTGACTTCTGAGTGCGATGCTACTGGGCTGTCGGTGAGGGTCCTGTTGCCGCTTGAGCTGGCGTGGGAAGTTGTGGAGGGTGCGGGTTGTCCGGCAGCAGCGGTATTGCTCTGTGTGTCTTCTATCTCGTCGTCTTCATCTTCATCGTCCTCGTCCTCGTCGTCATATGCAGCGCTGCTACTACCGCCATATAGCGCGTCGCCCTCCATCCCCACGCGCCCCGTTGTCAAGTCGCGCACGAAGGCCTCGGGCTCGGCGAGCGCGGCGGTCTTGACCCGGCTCAGCAGCGCCATGTCGGCGGCGGCCTTGCGGCGCTGCAGCTGCAGGATGGATATGGCGGATTTGAGGGCCAGGACATCGGGGTTGCTGTCGAAGTCGATGGGCTCGGGTGGCGGCGGCGCTACGCCTACTTGGTCCTGCTGTGAGTTGTGCGTGTATGTCGGCCGTGGCGGGAGCGCGACTGGGTTTAGAGGTGGTGTGATGGGGCTGTAGGTCGGTCTTGGTGGGGAGGAGGGACGCGTAGGGTCTTGCGTGTTTGCGCTCGTGCTTGGGTTTGCGTTGGCGGCGGGAGTTTGTCTGGAGGGTTGTGTGGAGGCGGCGGCGACGCCGCTTGTGTTGAGTGTGAGACCCGGCATCGTGGCTCGGGCTCGTGGGTGTTGTGCGTCCAGGTTGGGTGGAATTGCGTTGCGCCGCTTTGTCCTTTTGGCGTAGAATTGGCGTAGAATTGGTTTACGTAGTTGTAAGGATAGACAAAGAGAAAGTGATGGTGGTTGCCTTTATGGATAGTATATGGCCTCTTGGGATGCTTCGTTATCTTGTATAGAACAGTGAACTAGTCTAGGATGTCGTATGGGTTGAAGGCGCATAAGCTTGGGGGTCGGTGTTGCGGCGTTAGATAGAGTGGTCCAGGCTAGAGGGTAAAGTGGGGCGGGCTGTCAATGTGTAAGACTGGAGATGCAGAAACCAATGAGAAGTGCAGAAAGTGAAGTGGTGGACCCAGTTAAATAAGGGACTCAGTTCATTATCCGTGTGCAGCGGCAGGTCTGGGATCCCCGGTCAAAGCTGTACCCTGCAGATCTTAGTTACTCGAATATTTGCAGATGACGTCTCATCTCTACCATTTACAGGTGCGGTGTTGTGACTTTCAATAAAACATACAAAAAAGTCCGATTCTTACCAGCAACATTATAAGAGTTATATAACTGCTTATACTAGGTATTATTTACAATACTATTGTGACACTCACAATGACACTGTACGAGGTGCTTATCACTTTAGTTACCTATCACATATCACTATCGGAATTAAATATGATATATGGCGTAGCGCAGTCTAAATATACATAATATTAGTCTACGTGCCATATACAAACGGGATTTATGTAAGTTGTCGAGAATAATAAAACTGTTTTCTTCAACCCGCATCTCATCGTCTAAGATTAATGCTTCCTATGGGGTACAAAGGCAGGCAAGGATGAGATCGCACTGAATTAGGTTAGGTACCTATCTACCTAGGTTAAGTACTTCAAGTATACGGCCAGCTGAACTACTAGTACATTGTAGTAATAATGACCTACGGGTCTCAAACTAGGTACCCGCATAGTTTAGTAGCGCGCTTGCCCTTAGTCCCGTACATATTATTATGATATCTTAGGTAATAAGCAATAAGGCAACTTCGAGTCGAGGTAGATACCTATAACGTTAAGTCGTCCCATTTGACTTGCTCCTCCTTTCATATACTTGCTTATTTTCTTTCTAGATTTATCATCACACCGTACATATATCCAGATACAATCGAATAACCATCTAAGGTACTCGACCAATATTTCAATTAGAGGGTTTAACACTTTCTTTCTACCACTGTCTTTTCATCTATCATATGATCAACTATCGAGAATCCTATACGATGGTAGGGTTAGTTGGACACCTTCGGAAGCCTAAGCTACCAACCGTCCCAGGATCTCCACACGAGGGTAATACTACACCAACAGAGACACCCATAACACCACAACGTTTCAACCCACCTGTCTTGCGTAATTTCTCCTATCCAATCAATGTCGGAATCCTAAGGCAGCCGTCACCATTTCCATCGTTACCAATAGCTCAACAGACGGCCTGGGATCAGCTGGGTGAACTTTGCAATTTCTCTCCTGATAGTGTTTCCAGAACACGTGAATCGAAACCCCTTGGGCTCGATGATCCCTTTCCCTTCAGGTCCGAGACGGAGTCTTATTCTCAGTTAGATGACGAGGACAGTGACGGAAATAAAGAGTTCGGCATTGGCGTATCGTCTGAGCAACTTGACCGAGAGTCACTATCGCAGGAAGATTCCGTACCAAGAAAGAAGCTACGCCGAACCACTTTCTTAAATCCAGCTTCGTCTCAAGCCCAAGATTCTTCACGCCTTTAGAAGAGTGCTGAGAAAGGCGGGCTGAAAGATAAGGCTTTAAAGTTGGCCAAGGGCCAGTCATTAGGAGATCATATCTTTCCTCAGACATCCATTATCACATCCCGTCTTAAACGGAATTCATCCGGCCAACATAAAACAACTGCATCGCTAGACACATCCAGGCTCATGTCTTTGCCCTCCGATAGCCCTGATCGACCCGCATCAAGTTCAGGGGTTCCACTCATCGATACCACAGTTAAGCTACCAATCATAACCACAAGATATGTGCACTCGCCAGTAGTAATGGACTCTCAAGGAAATGCATCGATAAGACAAGGAGAGGGAACACTAGTATCTCAAGTCACAGGAGCAATGGAGTCTCTTGGAATGGACCCTATTTACCATAAGAAAACCCCGCACGATCATAGCGGGGTGGACCGCGATACTCTCGAGAACGCGAGAAACAGAAAACTCAATAATCCGCCGACTGAATTAGCCAAACATAATAAGAAGGATGGTAAAAGCCGCTGGATCTCTCTACTCAAGAGTTGGGTTAATATTTCGGAACCGTCGGCTCAGGCTTTGAAACAGTCTAAGAAGGAAACCTACGACAAGGCTCATCTCTCTCTTGATGGCCCTCAAGTGAGCGCTAAGCTTCACCTGCCAACCGGTACCCTTTCACCGAATGCGATTAAGCCGGTCGGCTCGGGGCCTGATCCCGAGGAGATGTTTTTGAAGCAGGCAGAACAACGGAAAAGGATGAGACGTTCAGGCACCGGGTCTTATGAAACCTACCAAGGCTCGAAATCGAGCTCCAGTTGCTATTCGGCTTCCAGTAGCATTGCCTTTGGTACTGCGAGAGAGGTTCCACAGTAATAACCAACTAAACAAACTCCGTTCTAAACGATACACGCGGGTTGAACGACATGTTACAATGGATTAATTGTTGCTATACTTTACGGCGTCTAATTCTGTTTTTATACTCGAACCTACAAGTGCCCAGGTATGAGATCTTGCAACTGAATTTTCACGTTCATTCTTTTACATGGGAGCTAGCTAGAACATTGGTGGAAGAAGTAAAGAGCAGACAAATTAAATTAGGCAAGTTATCGGTCTTATTAAGCACTTGACCTCTGATATAAATATACAGTTGATTAAATACGAGTAGTCAATGCAGCTACCCTAAGTTAATGCCACTTATTTCAACGCTTTCTGTTTTCGTTTAGCCAAATAAGCTCTTGAAGGTATCAACCAGGTCGCTCCCAGAACGGGGAGTAAAAGTGGCACAGCAACCGCAAAGTACAACCAAAAACCACTGTTCCCTGGAAAGACGCTCTCGGACATGCTCGCCGCCATATTTGCAGGTCGTTGATATCGTCACCCCGGAGAGCGAGGTCTATATCCTTTAAGGAGTACTCGTAGTACTTGACGTATCTGTGCATCGTGGCCGAGTAAACTAAGAACTCTTGCGGAGCGAAACGCAACGGGTTCGAACAGAGTGATGCCATACTCGGCTTTTCTATGCTAAACGTATAATAGAAGCTGCGAGACGATCGAAAGTCGACGGTGGCGATTTTTCATATGCTTGCAACGAGACCTGAGCTGTTGACGAACCTGCAAAGCCCACTCCAGGTTTAACAAACCATGCAAGGGTGTCTGACGCACCACAAATGTAGGCGTATGATACTGAGCACTCGTTTGCTGGATGATATCTGCGGTAGTCGAGCCTACAATAACCAAGCCTTTGGAGTTCAATGATTAGGTGTCACTTTGATACTCGAAGAAGGGATCACTTCTACGCTTACAGATCCAGAACCCAGAGTCAAAACGTTTTCGAAGAACAGAAGTACATGTACGAGCTAAGGCAATATTGACTCCTCTAATCTATCTACGAGGATCTATGCCTATACATACTAAACATGGTCTTTGTTCTAGATGTCTCATCTAGAATCCCGACAACAACGGCTGTAAGCCTAGATACTTGTTGAACTTCTCAAATACTAGAGACTTTTTGAATTCAAATTCCAGTCGAAATATACTTGCATTATTCACCCATTGTGTTTAAATCCCCATCTGGCAGCAGTGGATATGGCGAGTACCCAGAAGGAAAAAAGTTCGGCCATTGATTCTTTCGTGGCACATTGGCCGGAAGAGATGGATAAATATGAGAAGCTCGCGAGACACACGGAAGCAATCTGCACAAATAAGCTGAAGATGGGTAATATTCGCCACACGGTCAAGAGCCGCCCGAAGGCGCAAAGCAATCTCGAGGATTCAATTAGGAGGAGGCAGAATCGAAGAGCGCAACCATACCAAGATTGGGAGGAGATAAAGCACGATATGATTGATCTTGCTGGTGTCCGCATTACGCTTACGTTCCCGAATGATCAGTATAAAGTGCGTCGAATGATTCAGGAAACCTTCGATCCGTATCTCAACCCATGGGACGACATCTCCTGCTCGGATTTGGAAAGGAGTATCATCGATTGGAGCGACATCAAGAGAAATCGTGAAAACGGAAACGATGAAAAATGGCCTCTAGGCCTCAAATCACTCCACTTACGATGCAAACTGAAGAAAGACGATGAACAGTTTTCGGAATATAAAGGTCTCGCTGTCGAAATCCAAGTTGGAACCGGCTTTATGTATGCTTTGGAGGACGTCTACCATGATGTTGTCTACAAGCCATACTTCGGTCAGATCACTCTAGAGGAAGTGCGATTTATCGGAATCCTAGGCGGGCTGGCACACACTGGGGAGCTGGCGCTCAAACAGCTAAGCGCATCGCTTAGTTTAAGGACGGAGCTAGATAATAAGCCATTCAAGCATCTTAACCAAAGGCATGGCTGCACAAGGCTTTTTTTATTGTCGAATAATGACGATGTAGACAGCCGATTATTTGATATCGAGTGTCTTTACGAACTGCTACCGTTGCTCAACCTCGATACGCCGTCTGATTTATGGCCGGTGATTGCCTCCTCTCGAGATGATATTATCCGCTCAAGGCATATTCTTAACATCTTGCTTGTCGGGGTAGGATATTCTATGACCCTTATCGTATGCCCACCTATATATCTGGGGGGTGTCAGTAATACTAATATGAAACGGGGTTGGGATTTTTTTTTAAGTGCTGGGAGCGTAAATATCATCTGCGGATTGGCGTTGGAAGATAAGGAAACAGAATGGTAGGTAACCTAACCAGGTACCTATTATCTAGTCCGGCAGCACCTACATAAGCCACAAAGGTCATATGGTCAGCCACATACTCAGCTACAGGCATTACAAGATACCTTTTGGTCAAACGGTCAAGTGGTCAATCTGACAATTAAGAGTCTCATTCGCTTGCAAATCCGATTTCACGCTAAACGGTACTAGATCTAGAACCGTCTATTCTGCATTTTTCATCGAATATGATGTTACTACATATTCAGATCGTAACGACTTTTATAGACAGCTCTGTCCGGAATTGAGCCGCACTAAGAACGTCGCATCGTTCCACGTTGCGTAGTACTAAAATGCGTCTTCGGGTCTAGACCTTCACAGCTCAGCTTGGTTCAGCTACCGAACAATTCATCATACTATCATGTCCGGATGTTGAGCCAAGATACTTAAGTAGGTAGTTTAGAGCGCCCTGAATCGGTGCAGCCACTGGGCATCTCTTAGCGTTTATCATCAATATCTAGAGTCTAGACAACATCAGCCCTCTTGACAAGACTATCGGAGATTTGTTTGGTAGACTGAGGCTAGTCTTGCAGAGGTGGCGGGGTGTTCAAACTTACGGCTGAGTTTCTACGTTCCACGCCCCTGGGTTCTAGATCAGCGGGTCAGCCGTTGTGCCTGAAGTATAGTCTGCCTTTGAGCCCAATAACTCCAAGTATACTAATAGAGAAAAGGACACTATCACCGCCCGTCGCACCACATCCTATAGAAATTCGCTTACACAGAAGAGCTAGACTATTAAGCGAGAGTAAATCATCACAATGCTCGAGGGTAAAACAATACTTGATTTAGGTAAGCATGCTCTTTTGTGGGTGACGGGTGTTGTCTCGCGCGAGTCTCTATAGTACATACCTTCAACTCAAAGGTATCGCGACGAAGTGAGTCCATCATATTTGGTAAATCATATACCTATATGAATTGATATTCTTTAATTCGATTTTAATTTTGATTTTTATATACTCCTAATCAAATACCTGAATACTGAATATAATATAGTCGTTCACGTCATTTGGGAAGATCGCCTACACTTCTGGTGCCGGAAGCAGGAATCGCCGGTAGACGCTATGCGTGAGAGACTCGGGTAGTCCCTCTTAGTTTATACCGAGGTAGCTGATCTGCTCCTTGTCGTATGTCGTGCCTCGCTGTAGTATAGACGCTATTAGATCTTCGCGCCGCGCTTGCACTCGACTGGGTGGGTATATGCCCAAATAGGAATCCTAAACATGTCTAGCACGCAGCTACTGGAGCTGAAGAGAGTCCAGAAGGCTTTTCTCTAGATACGCTGGATATCATAGTTGTCGGGTGGCCAAAGTCTTGAATCGCTTCCTACGCCAGTGGACTAGTACCATGATTTGGCGAGGAAGATGCTGGACTCAAAAAGCACCATGTTTCCCATCATATTCCCGATGTTATTGTACGGACAAGCAAAGAGAAACTCTGCTGCAGCCAGTCTTCTCTTCGGTACAACATGCGTCTTCTTCTCTTCCTGACGCTGACAGTGTCACTCTGCTTGGCCCTCGGCGAAGATGTCTTAGATAAACGAGCCGCAAAATGTGGCATCAAGGGCAATCGTATCCTTGCAGCCTACTACAGCACCCAACAAGCAAGCTTCGCGGTTCCAGCTCAATGCGGTGCTTTGTGTGCATCAAAGGTTCTGTGCCAGAGCTACGCAGTCGAAAATGGCAACTGCCGCCTCTATCTGTTACCTGTGTAAGTGTTTACTCTATACTATATCCAAGGGGAACATATGACGGGACTAACCACTCTATAGTATCAAGATCATAACGCAATCCCTGCCCGGGAACAACGTTTTTTACGACAGAGCCTGCGCGACTAGCACTGACATGTGCGAGGTCAATGGCTTTAGGTTACTGACTCCGGCATTCTCGACTTCTAACGGGATTGCCGACAACACCTTCAAGGGATGCTCTGCACTTTGCAAGAAGACATCGGGTTGTCAAAGTTACTCTATCGAACTTGCAACCGGTGGGAAGTGCCGTCTATATAAAAAGGCTTTGGTCAAAGACTTCAGCCCAGACCCGAAAAATGTGAACATTTATTGGGATATCAACTGCCCACGAGCGGTTGGAAACTCGGTAAGCAAATTTACAAAAAGAAAAAAATACCTTATTCTCTATATAGAGAATATAGCACTTGTTAATAAGTTTGACTAACCATTCTTTCTTTTTATAGGGCCCCTCTCTGGTCTTCTCAGGCTCGTTGGCTACTAGTGCCGTCCCTACGATCAGTACTGTAGACGAAGCAGTGACATTCACGTCAGAACCAGCCCCAGTCGCTCTAACAACTGACAGTCCACCATATGTTCCATCCGGACCTCTAGTAACGCCGGATGATGATGATGATTTCATATCGACGTACACATACGAGCAGTTCGACCTACCTACCGTGATTGCCGAGGGATCACCTCCGATCACAACAGGTCTTGCCCAGCCAACTGCTTTACCATCTGCGCCGTGCATGGTAGGGCCCGGGTCCCAGGCACAGTTCGTGAGTTAATACGTAATTCACCCATGTGAAGGTTCTTGAAGCTAATCTACTACAGACCGTTCTCAATGAAAACTTCGTACCGATAGTCAGCAGGACATCTAGTTCGATTGGCCCTCTGTTACAACCCACTAAGGCGCCTGCTGCTGACGACCCAATGCTCAACCCTGAGACCTTTACCGTGCCTGGCTTCTACCTCAAAACGGCAGCGGGTGTTTCAAACGTCTACGATATGGTATATGCTGGGTCGGCTACACCTCAGTTTGTCGCCATGACCAATACTGGAGCCATCGTTCTCGTGGGAGCATCTACAGGAACTAGTTTCAAGAACAACCGTGTCACCACCATTTTCAACGTCGATTGCTATGGCCGCATATCGATCACCCAAGGTGGCTCTGGGTACACCTGGAGTACCGACGGCGCATCGAGTAAATTGACCAAGGCCGCGAAACCTGCAAACAACATGAAGGCCCTTCCTAAGAGCATCCCTGCGGTAAATAGCGAACGCAAGAACCGCAGGCGCAACAAACAATTAGCAGAAAGGCTTGCGAAGCGTTCATACTCCGACGGTCCTGCCCCCAAGTGTCCCTCTTCGCCTCCTAACCTAGTAGCCAAGACAAAGCAAGGCTACGAGCTGGGCCAAGGTAATTTCTGCGAGAGCCTTAGCGAATACTGGTCAATCAGCCCGTTCGACTTCGACGGATCGTGTGCCGTCCAAAGTCTCTGCTACGACCAATGCGAGGACTACGGCTGGCAGAGCTGTAACGGCATCTTTGGTACAATGATGATCCTTTCATGTCTGGATGCCTTCGAAAGCTGGTGGGAGGTAATTCCTGCCATCGCATGTGCCGCGCAGGCAAGCTATTTCACCGGTGTTGCCGCGACTAGCAAGGGTCGCGAACTCTTCTACAAGTCGCAGGCTGCCATGTGCCGCTGCTTCTGCTCCAGCCCTCCCGACACGTGTGTCTACAACAATGGAAACTTCTATTGTGCTGATATCCACGGCAACGACGACGCCAACTGCGGAAACTGTGGAAGACAGTGTGGCCCGAACTCGAAGTGGTATGTGAATCTGCGTCCACCTGTTAAATATCGTATACTAACATTTATCTAGCCATGGTGGAAAGTGCGGATGTCCGCAGGACCAGTGCGGTAGCACATGTTTAGATTTCAGGAATAACCCTAACAACTGCGGCAAATGCGGCAACGTCTGCAACCCATCCTTCTGCCTCGACGGCCGATGCTACGCACCCCAGCCGGGCGAGTGTACGCCCGAGCAGAGCGTCACGAACGGCGACTTCACCAGCTGGTGGCCCAGCTTCGCCAACTGGACGATGGCGGCGTACCCCGGCTGCGCCTTGAACGACAAGATCAAGTTCGAAGGCGTCAACTACTTGGCCAACGGGAAGAGCGACTCGGCCATTTCCGTGGAGATGTCGAGCTTGCCGAGCCAGGGCTGCGAGGCCGCCATGGTCCAGAAGAAGGTTAAGATGTGCCCCAGCATCCAGTACGACTTCACGTTTGCTATGGGCTACGTCAACCAGGTCGGCGACAGCCAAGTCCTCAGCAATGCCGACTGCACCGTGCGCTGGCTGACCGGCACCCCGGCCTCCTGGACCGGCACCGACGGCTTCCAGTCCTCGCCCACGTACAACATCGGCGTCAGCAACCCCAACTACAAGACTTACGGCCCGTGGAGCCTGCACGTCTCGGAGAACGAGGCGGGCGTTACCAAGGTCAAGAAGGATCTGTTCGTCGACTTGACGGCTGTGATCCACTGCGCCGGCCCTGTCAACGGCGCGGGACGGTTCGTCATCAGAGACATCAAGATGAGCCCCGTGGGCCAGGTCAAGGCCAGGTCGCTGACGATTGGCGAGGAGAAGGCTAGTTACGTCGTGCAGCGAGCCGCTGCTGCTACGAACGTTACGGAGAAGCTGGCGCCTTATTTCCCGGACCAGAAGAAGGGCGAGGTGCTTGTTGTTTCTTTCGAGAAGAATGCTACGGAGAAGAGGAACCTGCTAGAGGGTTAGGATTGAGCTTCGTGGTGGTGAGAAGCATTATGTATGAGTTTGTTATGGATATTGTGGTGGGGTATGAAATGATCCAATGTGATGTGATATGAGATGAGATAATTTGAAGCTATTTAATGGTATTTATATAAATGACTAGGTTACGATATTGCCTTATGAGTATAGATGTTTGAAAATGTCTAGATATTGCATTTAATTCTGTTATTTGCGACAATATGATAATAAGGCTGTATTGGGATGTGAAGTTACAATAAAGTTCGTAGATGAGTTGTACTATAGCTCGCTTGTAATTGTGAGAGACAAATTATGTCGCTATTGATAAGAGTAATAAGAAATAACTATACGATAATATATACTAATAGTCTCTGACGTACATATATAAGATAACTGACTAAGGTGAAAAGTATGACATGATATGTATCTCTAACCTTAGGTAGGTTAGTGTAAATCATCATACAATTATCAAAGGCCAGGTGACCAGAAATTGATTTGAAGCTGTCCCAATTAGCCTCGGTGCTAGTCCGTACTTGCGGCGAAAGCAGCTCCCTGTCCACCAAGCTTGATCATGAAATGTGGGGCTAATCGAGAGCTATGCAATAGTCATGACGTATATATAACGCGAGTCGTTTTGGCAGCCGGAGCAGATATTCCTGTGGTAAGCTGGTGTAAAATGGGTGCAACTCTTTGTTTCCCTGTTATAATTAATGGACGATGGATGCCGAATCGAAAGATTATTTATTATTAATATAACTAACTAATACCCATACTTCCCTACTAACCTGCGCGTAGCTCCTGTTACACGCTGTTGATATATCTTTATCCTATCAGAGTATTCAGCGTTGCGCCGAGAGCGCTTAAGCTGCAGGATGAATAAACTTTGGGGAGGGTCCAGGGTCCAGGACGACAGTCCGCGGGACTCGCTGGATCAGGAACGAGAAACTGCGCCGAGCGAGCATACTCGTTTGCTGCCGAATAGAGTCGACAGCACCAATTACTTGAGTCCGGATGATCCAGCGGTAGGCAATACTTTCAATGTTTCTGTGTACATCTAATACTCATATGCTGCTAGGTTTCGCCGTATAACCTATGGAGTATCCGAATTGTCAGATATCTTACCATCCTCTTTGCTATTCTCACCTTCGCATGGTGGATCATCCTACTCATCTCGACCTTCGTTACACCCCCGGGGTTTCATACGAGGGGATCGGGTTTCTTCGCCTTTAGCTATGCTAGTGTAACGCTGGCGAACCTGTTATTCACACTCATATTCTTCGCTATCCCGTCAAAACCGGTTCGAATATTGAGTGTAGTTTTAGGAGCGTTGTTGTTAGTCAATACTATCTTACTGCTGTCCGTAGAGAAGACAAGACATGAAGAAGGCTGGGTAGGAATGGTCAGCGTCCTATGTAAGTCTGTACTCTACCGAGAATAGGGGGTTCAAGACTAACGATATAATCCAGGGGCGTTTCTTATGGCTCTCTGGACCCTACTCACCGATCGCTTGGTCAAATGGGGTAAGAATGAAGAGGAACAACGGCTGACTGGCCGGTCTGAGACGCGTCGCACTTTGACCGAGTGGACTGCTGTTCTGTTGTCTACTATTTCCATGGTAATACTTGGCCTTGCCGTCCTTCTAACTACCTGTACTCTTATCATCCGAGGCCTCGATGCTGGGTTAGCACCGCCAGGGGAGTTGTTCTGGGTAGATGGAGACAAATACATGATGCATGTCTACTGCCATGGGAACAAGACCAATTCGAACGGTAACAAATTACCAACCGTTTTACTAGAAGGAGGGGAAAGCCCAGTTGAAGATGGCCTATGGCAATTTGCCGAAAATGCAGTCAACAACGGATCTATTAGTCGATACTGTTTCGTTGATCGTCCCGGACTTGCTTGGGTAAGTAGGTAGTGGCTGATGACTATTATCTGATTACTGACACGCAATAGAGCGATACCGCGCCTTCGCCCCTGTCTGCTGGAATGGCAGTCGACGCTGTTAGTGAAGCTTTGGCTAGAGCTGGAGAAGATGGTCCTTGGGGTAAGTCCCTATTCGAGACTCTGTTCAATAACTGTCACTAACATGTTTGGTAGTCCTCGCGAGTGCTGGTATTGGTTCCGTATATTCACGCATCTTCTCTGCTCGACACGGTGGCGACATCAAAGGGCTGCTTTTCATCGATCCACTCCACGAAGACGACCTTGACGGCGTAGGTTCACCTAGCCGAGGATTCTTACTCTGGATACGGGGTATAATATCGCCGCTTGGTCTTGATCGCATTCCTGGAGCCCTTTTCAAAGGCCGAACCAAGGAAGACCGTGTATGGGGGCAATCCGCATACCAGACAGGGAAATATGTGTTTGCCAAGTTGCAAGAAAATCTGGTAGCCGATACGTTGTCGAAACGTGATCTGGCTAGCAGCGCGGCAATTCAAAACCCGGACGTCCCGTTGAGTGTAATCAGCTCCGGGGACATGATCCGTAAAGACAGCGGATGGGAAGATAAGCAGAGGGATCTCAGCCATGTCACGCACAAGTTGAAGCACTGGGATATCGTTAATAAGGCGCCGCATCAGGTCTGGGAGACGAACGAGGGGCGCGATATTATGGAAAAGAGATTGAAGCAGTTGGTGCAGGCTGCATAGATTGGTGCGAAGGGGTATTGAAAACACTGTTTCTGATTTTGCATTTCAAGAGAGCGTAGCACGTATAAGCACAATAATGACAAGGGCTTTGTAGTTTATGTACGGGATTGAGGATTAAAGATTGAAGCAAGGTAAATGATATGTATGAATGTGCTATAGTTATTTATATCAGGTAGAGACCTATGATGTTGCCTTGATGAGGAGGTTGAATACCTAACCTAAAGTTTAAGTACCTGGTTAGGTTATATTTCATTTGAGAGGGGAGCAAATCAATATCGTTATCGTTATCGTTATCGTAGTGCCTGTAGCTGGAGTGAATACTTCTGCGTGTACCTAGGTACCCGGGCTACACCGCTTTCCTATCCTGTCTTTTAATTGACGTCGAGCAAATCGAAAGCGCGTTCCTTACGCGTCGGTGGGGCCTTTTTTATGTTGGACGCCTTGGACTAGGTTTAATTAATATAGCTCTGTGCAACTATTTATGGCACTCAAGAAGCCAGTCCTTATCGAATTCGACAAGATACCCATATTAGACTATATAGTCTTTTGACTGTTGACTGTTGACTGAACTACGATATGGCCAGCTTCTTCGATCTAAAGGCGCGCAAAGCAGCCGCGGCTAACAGCGCAACAACGTCCAAAGTAGAAGAGTCTAAGCAGAACACCAGAAAGCAGCCATGGGTGGAAAAATAGTATGTCCCTTTATAGGTCGAATTGTTGAAAGAAGACAGTGACAGAGGGGCTAATTCGTCTTTAATAAGCCGTCCGAAAACCTTAAGCGATGTCACGGCTCAGGATCATACGGTGAACATCCTCCAGCGGACGCTTCAAGCCTCTAATGTAAGCCCATGACCTATACTTATATAAAAATATGTAAAATAGCCCGTGCTTGTAGTATTAATAAACTTCTAGCTCCCTCACATGCTCTTCTATGGTCCTCCCGGAACGGGTAAGACCTCCACGATCCTCGCCCTCGCAAAAGAGCTGTACGGACCCGAGATGATAAAGTCCCGTGTCCTCGAACTCAACGCTTCCGACGAACGAGGAATCTCCATCGTACGAGAGAAGGTAAAGGACTTTGCACGTATGCAATTGACGAACCCACCTGCGGGATACAAGAGCCGTTACCCCTGTCCACCCTTCAAGATCATCATTCTCGACGAGGCGGATAGTATGACCCAAGATGCCCAGAGCGCCCTCAGACGAACAATGGAAACATATAGCAAGATCACGCGATTCTGCCTAATCTGCAACTACGTCACTAGAATTATCGACCCCCTGGCGAGTCGATGCAGCAAGTTTAGGTTCAAGAGTTTGGATCAGGGTAATGCGAAGAAGCGCCTGGAGGAGATCGCCAGCAAGGAGGGTGTCAGAATGGAAGAGGGCGCCGTTGATGCGCTTATTAAATGCAGCGAGGGCGATTTGAGAAAGGCGATTACATTCTTACAGAGTGCGGCGAGGCTGGTCGGTGCTATTGAGAAGGGGGATGACGAAGGAGATAAGATGGACGTGGATGACGACGTTGGGCTTGTCACTGTGAAGATTGTGGAAGAGATTGCTGGTGTGATACCAGACCAGACTATCTCCTCATTACTGAAGGCGATGCAACCTAAATCTGCTGGCGCGACTTATCAGGCCATCGCCAAGGTCGTGGAAGAGATGGTTGCGGATGGATGGAGTGCTGGACAGGTCCTCTCTCAGGTAATATCGCCCCCTCCTTCCTAGTATTGTTGGTCTACTAACGGGAGTCTACAGTTATACCAAGCTGTCATCCAAGATGAGATGGTCCCCGATATAGCGAAGAACAAGATAGCCCTTGTCTTCTCGGAGGTGGATAAACGATTAGTGGATGGTGCTGATGAGCATTTGTCTATTCTAGACCTGGCTCTGAGAATATCGAACATACTAGCTGGAAAGAGCCAAACGCAAGCTTTTTAAGAACAATAACACCCAAAGACTCCTACTAGAAGGGAATATAATGCAGTACGTGGTGAATGTCATAGCATGCGGCGTTGGGTGTACAAAACACGGATGTATTTACTATGAAGATCCTCGGTAATACGGCTTTGACTATATTTACAAGGTGATGTCCGGATAGATCTTAGCTGTGGTGAAATGACCATGCCCTTTACTTATTTATCAGCCCGAGATTCCCATCCAGTTTCGCGTAGATGCTCTGTCCCTTCGGCTTCTCTGCCTTCTTCTCCTTGTTCTTCCTGACACGCGCCCCGCTGTTCCCCTCGTCCTCTCCTATCCACATGTCACCCTCAGCACCACCACTCTCCTCTCCACGAGACTGTTCCGGCACAGCCTCTTCCTTATTAAGCAGTTTGCGGACTTCATCCAGAGCCTGCA